CAGCACGCAGCGGCTGGGGGGGCCGCACCGGGGCTTTCTGCTCCTGCCAAGGCGGCAGAACGGCGGCGCTCCGCGATGCTGCAGGGCAGATCATTCCGCCGCTGGAACACAGCAAACTGCACCCACGGCAGAGCTGCTATTGAAACTCAAGCACACTGCTCAATTTAGCTTGCAATGAGTTTTGATAAAATCTCTAATGAAGGAGGAGTTAGGAAAGCTTTTATTATTCTAATACAGCATCGAGCGGTAAAGAACACAAGAAGCACGAGTATGCCCACGATGTGCCTGTATATGCCGCCCTACTGCATCTCTACACCTTCTTTGTGCTTTGAAATGCAAGAAAAGTCTTTCGTTTTGCCCAGTGCTACATAATGCAGTGCTAGATATGCTGCTTTGAATATGTATTTACAGTGTTGATTTAGACACAGCCTGCTGAGTTTAACTTTGAAGAAGAGTTTGGCCAGTGCCCCAGCTTCACGGGAACACGCACTTCAGAAAGAAATATTTTTATTATTCTTGCAAAAGAGCAACTGGAAGGCACRTATTCCACGGAGATGCAGCTGTAGGGTAAGCAGATGGCATTTCTGAAGCCACYCTGCACAGCAACTGTGTCTGCAGCTTCTATCCTATCCAGCAGTAGAAACAATAGTGAAAAACCCCTGGTTATTTTGGCATCGACAGCTCCCCGCTGCCACTGGAGTTTTACAGACCTGAGTGGAAATGCTAGTCGGCCGTGCTGCTCATTTTGACAGTTGTGCAGCTTACCAACAGATGGAGTATGTTAATCAGTTTTTAAAGTATTTGCTAAGAATCCGGGCTAATTGAAATTCTGTACGCAGAATGWTTGCAAAAAAAATACAAGTCTGTGATACATGAAAAGAAAAAAACCCAAAACTCTTAATTCTGTTGCAGTTGGAAGGAAAAAGTTATCTTGGAATATTTAATTATATGCCTTAAAATCACCACTTCTCTGTAAAGCCGAGCGGCTTACGAAATTGATGTGTTCCCCTACCTAGTATTCATTATTCAGTATGTGATTATGCGCAAAGCGTGAGCCTCTAGAGCAGGCTGTWAATACTCTACAGTGTTCCCACTAACAAAAGTTTTCCAGCAAGCCAAACCAGAAAGTCTTCCAGCCCTGTAGCCAAAAGCGAAGGGAAGCAAACAACCAGAAACCCCTTTGCAGAGCAGAACATCCGAAGGAAAGCAAGGCAAAATTAAACATAAACTAGGCACTTCCCCAGCAAAACTGCCCTGCTTAGGTAAGCCAAGCAAAGCGAGCTCCTGCGACCCTAGGTACGTTTTCTGCTCACCACAGTAAGGATTAACAGGGCAGCAGAGAGGAAGCACGTGCAGGTTACCCGGGTTCAGGTCCTGATCAGGAAACGGAGCTCAAGCAAGAGGACTACATTGATCTAGGAAGTAAGAGTGCCCAGATCTTGGCTTAATAGGTAACTTTAAAGAATCCCTGCATTTACAGGGCCTCACACACTGCAGCTTACACTCCTCTGCAGTTTCCAGGCACTCCTAACGTCTTCCTTGGAAAACGTTAGCACCTTGCAGACAATTGTCATCTTGTACTATCAAAGCTCTCCATTTTTTTACGAGATCCTAGTCATGCTAACTGAAAATAATGAGGTAAATCAATTCCTTTCTTTCTGTGTGACTCAAGAAAAAAAAATACAAATACTGTCCGAAATGCTTTTTCTTCATTACCTTCCCTACTGAATATACTGTAAGAACCGGCTATTTTACTGTGGTTCTCCTGTGAAACAAGACTCGACCCTGCTAATGGCACCAGTGGTGCACACTGGTCTGCACAGCTGCAGCCAACGGCGGGTGCCGTGCGGAGCGGGACGCGGGACATGGGACCGGCTCCGAACCCAGAACCGCTTCCCTGCCCTGCGGCTGCCCCTCTGCTCCCGACCGCAGGCTCGACACGGAAGCCTAGGCGGGAATGGGACTTTAGCAGGCTTTAGCGCCATGCTCACCACTACAGAACCTACATCAAGGCCAGTGTGTTCCAGCACCTCGTTATACAATCCGCCAATCTCCACCAATGCTCTTTACACCTCCTCGTTTCCTCTGTAATCCCTGTGTTTCTGCTACCGGAGAGTTGTGCTCCCAACAATATTCCCATAGCTCCATTGTGAGGATGAAGTCCTCACAGCCCTGGAGACTTGCAGATGCAGATTGGTATACATTCATATTCTTAGWTCCTCTCTTTCACAGTATGTGGGATACGTTGCTTGTTCAGCAACAGCAGTGTCACAGGAAGCAACCTGGGCACCCCACATTCACTTTGTGCAGATGGCCTGGCTGGAGGAGGTGATGCCCGTGACCAAGCTGTGGCTTTGATTTTCCAGCATCTCCAGGAGGAAGCGCCGCCGCTTTCCTCGAGGGTGATGCCGGCACGTGTGCATGAGGACAGCGCATGCTGCCCTACTAGCATAAGAAACACTAAATAATTTTACCTTCTCTGTATCATTCATCATTTAAGTATCTTTATTACAGGCCTTTCCTTATAACCTTTTCCAAACTCCCTCGCAGTCTCCTCACATGAAAGCTGTTCCACTTTTGCCCATCCTGATCATCGCTGCTCGACTTCTCCTTTCACAGCCCTTCATAAGCCTGCAATCAGAACTGCAGTGTTGCAGGTGCAGAAGCACTGCAGCTTTGGCAATGTTCTCTATTTTATTCTTCACTCCTCTCTCAGCAATCCCTAGTATTTRTTTCACTTTCCTCATCCACACTGTTGTGTACGTAGTGCTGCAGTCGCTTTTTTTTCCTCATGTATGCATCACCTGATATTTATCAAAATTGCATTCCTTTTTGTATGTACTGAAGTTACTTAGTGTAATCAAATTCAGTAACCCTTTCCAGTCAACTTTAGCCCTGATTATCTGTAAAAATGATGCAAAGCTTCCATGAATGGGTGATGAGAAACTGCAGTAACATAACTCTTATTATAAAGCAACTCCTCACCAGAAAGATCTGGAAGCACATTAGCTTCTGACCTAATCCTGAAGGATTTTTCCTCTTGAAGTCCCGCAGCTCCTCCCAGACAGGTGTGATTTTAATTTTTGCTCTCACGCTCGTGCTGTGCTTCACAATGGTCTCCATTCAGGGCACAATAAAGGACTTTTTCCATTACCACCGTACCTTGGCGAGGCACACGCCAAGGCAGCCAAGACAAACCATGCCGGAGGAGCGGCCAGGATCCTGCTCAAAGGCAGAGCTCGAGATGCCAAGAGACCCGTTTGTCCAGGACACAACGTAAGAGTGACACAGCCACAAGCCCGGGATGACGGAGCAGCAGCAAGGGCTGCCCAACACGGACAGAACGGGCTAGGAGCAGACTGGGGCCTGGGACACGGCTGGAATTGAAGGGCAGAGTAATCAGAAGAGATGACTGTTCGGTAGGGCCACAGCTCGCAGATATGCGAGGCACGGAGCGCAGGGCCGCTCTCACCTGGGCTCCTAGTGCTCCCGTTGCCAGGGAGACCCGTTTGCTGCCGCTCCGGAGCTCGCGGCGTGCACAGAGCCGCGGGAACGCGCCGCGGGAACGCGCCGCGGGAGAGGGGAACGCCACCGAGCACGGCATGGACCGAGCACAGCATGGACCGAGCACAGCATGGACAGTTACAGCTTGCCAAGGCATCCGCGAGTGGGAAATGCGGATCCAGTTCGGAGTTCACACTGGTATCCATGGCACATTTACTCTTGTTTAATAAAAGCTGTCTTTCTCTATGCTCACGTTTGCAGAGAGCGAGCACACCAGAAAGAGAACAAGATGAGTACACACTGAGAAAACTGTAACTAGCTCTGTAAGGAACTAAAATTTATAACATAGATTTAGAYGGTGAATCTACACCACCATCTGCGGAGAGCAGATTGGCAAGCCGACATCAGCTGGGTACCGATGCGGTAACATCAAGGGTCCTAAAATGCAAATATCAGCACRCAAGTATGGTATAGCCTGATGCAAAAAGAGAGGGGGGGTACATGTCCCTTAACAGTGTGTCAGGGCTGGCAGATATGTGCAATGTGTGCTGCCAAGGAACGTGCTCTGTTCCTCATTCCTCCAGTGTTCCTGCACCGTTTTTCTTCCCTTAGTTCTCTGAAAGCATCTATTCCCTCCTCCGGCTCCCTCATCCCAAGAGCACTGTGCGGGCACCTCGGAGACATGGCCACCGCACTGAACGGCGTTACGGGAGCTCACGCCAGGCATCGCTCCCGCTTCAGGGCACTCGGCTGCACCAGCGATGCAGTAACACTCKTAATTCCCATCACAAAAACCCACAGAGCGGTGAAACTTTGCGTGCCCGACTTCGTTTGCTGACCACCCTCACACTGGGGAAATAGGGCAGCTGTTCCRCCACTCTGTCCCAAGCCTTTTTGGCCGTTTCGGACACATTCTTGTCTCCCCTTTCCCTCCTGAGTGGCTAGGATCCACAGGGCGGCTGGAGATGGGTGCTTTGTGAGGTAATCTGAGAACACACACAYCTCGTATCCCGGTATTGTGCACCGAAGCGCTAATCCCCACGAGAGAGCCTCGGGAGCTGCGCGTTCCCCGGGAATGTCCCCCGGGAGCGCTGGGGACCAGCCCCCTCCTCGCGCTCCCCCCTTCCCGCCTCGCGGCCGCCCCTCCCGCCGCCATGGCCGCCCCGCCCCGCGCGGGAACGCGGCGCCACGTGCCCCCCCCCGGCACGGGGCGCTGCGCTCTCGCGAGAGCGGCGGTCTCGCGAGAGCGGCGGGCGGAAGCG